GATTAATTTGCAAGTACTTGTTTGCCTTTATCCCCTCAGCTTTTTAAAAGAAAACAATGAAAACCCCCCAAACCCTATTTAATTGTCTGGCTGTGTTACGTAGGGACGTAAAACTGTGACCATACTGTGGGCCTCGTTCTCTCATTCAAATATTTCTTGTAATGTATTTTTCCTTTCAAAAGAAGCCTGGTAGGTGGTTCTCTGGAAAGATTTACCCTCTTGAGAAAGTTCATTAAGACTGTCCTATAGCTACTTGTGTGGCTAATTTCCAACTCTCCATTAAACTTGACCTCCACAGCAATAATTAGATATGTCTAATCAGAAAAGACTGTAAACTGAGAAAAGGTGAGGAGGCTTTCGTGTCTGCTGCAGGACCAACCTGTGCCTTAAAGCAAGAAGTCTGCAAACCCACAGATTACAGCTGTGCTGTTGCAGTATGAGCACGGCGTATTTGGGGCAATTGCCGCAATGCTTGCGTGCGCTGTTACGTGGCTAATTGTCATGCAGCAGGTATGCTCAGTAACGAAGTGTTAGCTTTTAGCGTAAAAAGGTTAACATGAACAAAAGTTATCCTCTTAGGATTAAAAGAGCATCCAGCTTCTTAAAAAAAAAATTAAAAAATGCAGTTACTGGCTGCTGCGTGCTGTTTATCTTCAGCTGAACAGAGTTGCAGAGGAGAGAGCAGGAATTGGTGTAAAAGCGAGAGGTGTCAGAGCGCGACACAGGACAGAATATACCAGAACTACCAGAGTGCCGTATTAACACCGCGGTTTTCGCACAACTCCACTGAATTGGTCACAAACAAATTTCTACAGTCTGTGGGCTTTGTTACCACTATTGGCTGTGGTTCAGCATTGATAAAAATAAAATTGAATGTACACTATGTGCGCTCTGTGGGAGGATTCTTTTAGTGCCAACGGAAGCATTGTCTGTTCGTCTTTGAAGAAATACAACATTTGCTACTAAGGAATGAAAATAGAATTTTCCTAAATTACACAAAAATAGAAGTTACAAACCAAATGGCATCACTGTTGGTCTTAATGTGATGTAGGATACACTTACACAAAATGTCTTTGCGCACTGAATGTCCTCAGCAGTATGCCCCCTAAGAATAAGGGGGTTTTTTTAGAGGATTTGGTGTTAATTTAATGAAAGCACTTAGGCCAGTGTTTTGTTAGAAGCAAAGTTGACTACCCTTAATAAAAGTTAAATTATCGCTCCCTTGTTACTCTATTATAAGCAGATGACAATAGCGAATAATGAGATGGATGATTCTTTCAGTTTTTCTTGCTAGAAATAACTTAAAGGATTCAAACATCCTCTTATTTTTGAGAGGTATCATGGAAGGGAGTTGCAAGGAAAACCCAGCATGTTCCCTCAGCTGGCTCTTGGAGGCCTCTTCCAAAGACGCTGAGGTCTGGTGGCCTTTCACACCACCCTTGAGATGCCTCAGCTGACAGCTGGCGTGCAGGCAGCCATCGACCGCTCTCAAAACTAGCCCTGAGCAGCAGCGACCTCTCCGGGCAGGGTGTTTGGGAACATCTGGTGTTGGCGAATGTCAGAATTTCACTGTGTTGCTACAGGTTAGTTCCGGGATCTTCAGGAGCTTATTCATGGAAAAGGCTGCGAAATTAATTGGGCTTAGCCATTCTGTTGTTATAACTTTTTGGCTTATGACATTTATAAAAAAAGCCATGGTATCATAGCAGGGTTACTTCTGGTAGCAAGGGGGGTACTTGTTTTCTCTGTTTTGCTTTGGAGCATGAGTGGCCGCTGCAAGGAACAGTGGATGCAGAGCTGTCTTCAGCGGGTGGTCCAGGAGCTCCCACAGAAGCCTTTGGTCACCTTGCTGTTTATCACACCACCACGCCTTGGGTTTCCCGGTGTCTTCTGAACATGGGAATAGTGCTAGTTGTCGAGGAAGCTTTGCACGTCTGTTCTGGAGGACGTTAAGCTCAGAAGCTTTTATCTTGGGTTTGGAAGATCTCTGAATCTTACCTGGGGAGAATGGTGTTTAACTGGAGTGTCAGAAAGGTTGAGATGCAGAACCTCTGCTTTGCTATCCTTCCATTTCTCTCTAGAGTGGTAAGGATCATCAGAGTCCCAGGGCACATACCAATCTCTTTGAAATAATAATCATTCCCGATTCCAAACTGGCACACGTGTAAATAGCTAGTTTTACTTTAATCAGCAGAAAATATGCTTTGCCGACTCTGAATGCTGCTGTAGTAAGAACTGATCTGGCTATGGTGCCTTTATAATGGGAAGTGTGCGTGGAGGGACAGCAACCACTTCTTCAGACATCAGGGAGAAAAGTTAACTGCATATAAAGTGCAGGATTTTAATGTAATTGTCTGGGGGAAAATGTGCGTATGTGAGTTGGAGGGCTTAAAAAAAAAAAAAAAAAAGCTGTTCTTTAGTATAAAAACTACTGTACTGTGACCTCATCTCTACCAAACTGTTGCAGTATTAATCTCCACAGATGATGAATTTCTGAGCCAGTAAGTCACTCTTCATTTCTTTCAAATCTAGACCTCTACAGATCTCTGCTGTTTATACTCTGACATGCTCTAGGACTCCACGCTGTAGATCACATCAATCTGCAGCCAGTGGGTTTTTCTAGATGTGTAGTTAATCGGGAACTGGTTATTTCCCAGTCCTCTTCCTGCAAATACATTACATAGGCACTCGAAGTTCCTTTTGGACAGCTGAGAATTGAGTAACAGCAAGGGTTTTTCACATCAGAATAATGATGAGGGGAAAATGGATGAGAGTTTCACAGAAAGCGTGAAAATGTTGTCTTGAACGCAGCAGTCCAAGCTCTAGCTCACCCCAGCATTACGAGCATTAGAAGCCTCAACAAAATGCTGAGCAGCTCTTGGATTTTGGGCTTAACGAACACTTGTTACTTAGGTCTTTGTTCTTTTGAGAAATTACACACATTTCACATTATTTTCTGCTGATTGGCTTCTCCAGATTGCTTTTGGTCTGGATGAGTAAGTCACAAAACTAGGAAGAGGCTACCTTGCAAAACTTCACCGGTAAGAAGACTTCCCATAGACCAAAGCTGATGCTGGCTGCCGCTGTAAATTGTGCTGCCGCCGTGTGATGAATCCGCGCTCTGTGTCAGACAGAGAAAACCCGTTTGTATCGGGTACCGCCTTCGCGCTGGTGGCGAGGAAAAATGGAAGTAACTATGGAAACCTTGGCCCTGGGGTCCTGCTACGGTGAAAGACTAAATTTTGCCGCACAGAAACGGGTCCTGCAGGGTCTCGTTCGTGCGTAGGTGGCACTGGTTTGGGGTGGCGTTTCTGGTTTGGGCTGGGTTTCTTAGAGCCAAGACTGGTGGTATCCTGTGGTCAGGGATGTCTCCAGGGCACTGGTGCCCGCAAGCCTTCGGCTGGGCTGCAGGAGCACCTCCTGCGTCCCTTTGGGGGAGGTGCTGTCCTCTGCTTTACGTAGAAGCAGGTACCGTAACGCAGCTCATCGCTGTTCTGTGTCTGGTGTCTGGCTAGCGCTCCCTCTGTACACGAGATGTACGTTCTCTCAACCCTGCGTTGAAATGTTAAGGTTTGAGGTAAACCTGGTGAGGTCATTTTATCCATTCCCTGACACTGCTGCCGCAGAAATGTTGATGCGTTTATTTAATGATTTGCCTGCCGCTTCTGACAGATGGTTGTTTAGTCTTATGCATCCTGTGTGATGGAGCATCCCCAACTTTTCTTGACATCTTGCTCAGTTGTTTTGCTGTTCTTTTCTGCAGTTTATTCTGCATTGTTTGCTTAGTTGAATTGGAGTTACTGTTTGTTTCTTCATCGGTGCTTTATCATGTTACTGTTTCTGTACGCTTCGCGTAACTTTTTTTTCTTGTGGTTGAAGACTGATTGCAGTGTATCGTCTTGGCTCTGTTCGAATGAGAAGTTTGGGGAGGGGAGGCGGTGCCTGCGAGGCCATTGATCCCATCTTTATAACTTTGCCCTTTTAGCTAGGAACAGATTACTTGCGCCGTGGTTCGAGGTGGCACAGGCAGAATCAGAAGGACCAAACTTTACATAAACCATTTATACTAAACGTTGGGAATGCTGGCGACATAAATCAACAACAATATCTATTACAAATTTATCACTTTATCAGTATTATCTTTGATAGAAGTGGTCTGAACACATGGGGAAGTGAACCGTACCTCAGGAAGTTTAGCCCTCTCTTAAATTAATTATTCAGGACACACAGAGCCTGGCCCCTTCAATGTATAGTAATTCTTTCTAGCCAGCATCCAGGACTTTAACTTCAGTGGCAATAATAAATAGGAAAAGTCTCAGGTGAAGGCGGTATTTCAAAGTAATTAATCATCTTCCCCTCGTGGTCCCTCCACCTCTCTCTTGGTTTTCTTTAACGAGGGAATTTCAGTAATAAATCTTTAATGATATATGTTAAGAATCCTGCATTAATTCTTGTCTGCTTATTTCTCTTTTTTGATGCTTTTATGTTGTATGGAGGGAAGTTAAAATGCATATAAAAGAAAAAACAGTTATAGGAAGGTGATAATTTGGCAGAGTCTCTGAAAGGTTGTTTCTTGGATGTTGACTGTTGTGGGGTACGTTTGCTAACAGGAATTGTCAGTTAACACTGGTCTGACTGTCGAAGGAACGTTTAGATACAGTTACAGAGTCACAGCACGGTTGCACGGGAGAAGGTAAAGAAAAAGGTGATTTGTCAGCTCCTAAACTGGAGGTGAACGAGCAGTAATTCTGGGTTCCGTGGTGTGCGTTGTGTGCCCGGCTGCTAGAGGCACGTGGGGGGCACAGCTCGGCACGCCGCCGTCGGCCGCTCCGGCACAGCGGAGAGGATGTATCTTTAATTCTCGTTAGACGCGAGCAGCCATCACGCCTATTCAATGTGACAGGGACAGATGTGACAGATCGGTTCTGACACACTTCCATACCACAAGTCCGTGGCTGGAGGTGACTGGTGTCCTTCCTCCGGTCCCGTCCCCGCTGCAGGACAGCACAACGACGCACGGATGAACCTCGCCATCGCCCTCACTGCTGCCAGGTACGGCGCTGCCACGGCCAATTACGCTGAAGTGCTGCGCTTGCTCAAGACGACAGACGCGGCCAGCGGGAAGGAGCGCGTGTGCGGCGTGCGCTGCAGGGACGTCCTAACAGGTGTGTGCACCCCGCTCGGGCGCGAGGGACGGCTTTCTGCAGCCGGACAGAAAGCACCGCGCCGCAGGAGAGCGTGCGCCCTTCCTTAAAGGACCGCAGAAATGGTGAGAGGAGGGAGGAGCGGGGACACCGCTGTTTGCAAATATCAATGGACCGACAAAGGAGCCATCTTCCCAGAGAGCAGTGGCATACCATTACCGTCAGTCATCTTTAACTTCTGTCAGGTTTTTCACTCAAATCCTGGTGTTTTGGCAGGGGAGACTAAGCTTTACGTCCAAACCCTTCTGTCAGGCAAAGATGATACTGTAAAATGCTACGTGCTGTACAGCAACGATCCCGTTTACCAAGTCTGCGGGTCGAGACTGAAATCTCTCGTCCGAGAGGCGGATTTCAGCTGAACTTCTACCTGCTCTGCCTTCTTCTGCCCCTACACAGAAGGTGGAATTTTACCGTAAAACATTTTCTTTCAAATCTGGTGTTACAGGAAAACTTTTGTTAATTTTTTAAAACCCATTCTAGCTGTTCTGTTCAGACAAGCACGATGTTCTTTACAGTGAGTTAAGTTCATAGATAGATTAATAATAGAGAGTGTCAGTGAGTGAGCAGGAAAACAAATGGTGTATGTGATTGATACTGTTTTCTTTCACAGGGCAGGAATTTGATGTCAAAGCCAAATGTGTTATCAATGCTACGGGACCTTTCACAGACTCTGTGCGCAAAATGGATGATCAGGAAGTACCAAACATCTGTCAGCCAAGTGCAGGCGTGCATATTGTGATGCCTGGTTATTACAGGTAACGATACTCAAAGCCTACACCATTTGTAACAATCTCTGCTGGTGCCTGTGATAAATAAGCTTGCAGAGACACATTTGTGGGTTTTACGGTAGTTTTGAACGCACAATTTGGGGTTTGTTTGGGTTTTTGGGTTTTTTTGTGCGTGTGTTCTATTTTGTTTTTAAAGAGGATTCTGGCACTGTGCCGATTAGAGCAACAATCTCATATATTGAGAAAAGACTGAAGTCTTGTAGTTCTTAGTTAAAACTCACCAAGGCAGAACTCTGCTGACGCAGAAGTGCGTTTAGGCAGAGCATCCACAAGAAACTTGTGAAAGGCGCCTTTTTTTAATAATGAGTTTGAGTTGAGTGCACTGACTGCTTGTTCACCTCCCTCGAGAAAACAAGATGCATATAAAACCTCCCAGAAAGGTTGCCACCTTCATACAAAAACTCTTGTCCTGTTAAATCTCAAACTCTCTACGCAATGACACTCTGCCAGCGTCCTCTGCAACGTCACGACTCTGCTCTTAGTAAACACGAACGCAGCATGGAGGCAATGTAACAAGTAGTTGAAGATAAGACGATTAAATTCGGACACTGCTGTGGACACAAGCCCACCCTCCCGTGGTGGTGGTGGAAGGGACGTGCCTCCCTCTGACCCTGTTGCAGAAGAGGTCCCCGTGCAGTCTGCCAGCACTCTCTACAGAATCCTGCTTCTTCGCTTATTTGCTGCTGCAAAACCAAATCCCCTTCTACCGAGTAAGCCTTGTCAGTGGAAGCTCAAATATTACCTTTTGGTTTCTGAAGTCATTAGCATCCTAATGGAAATTCACATTTATAGACTTGCCCCAATTCTGTTGATACAGTGCACTTAGATTAATGCCTTCCATATCCTCATTGCACTCCTCTGTCAATGTAAATTTAGATTTCCAGTGCACAACATGTTGGTTTTGCCAGAGCTGTCCCAACAGGACATGACCGTAGACTGTAAAATTGAGGCATTTTTGGAAAAGTGTAAAATGACTCTTGCATTCTGTTCTTTTTTTTGGCATCTTTCCGCATGAAAAATGGGAAAATGACCTGATAGCTGCTTTAAAGCACCAGCAATGTGGAGAAACGGGCTGTAATCCCAGGTCCCTCATATACTGTGAGAAGCACATGTGTGATTGACTTCATGGCCCTACAGCAAAGACATGTGAAGTTTGAAACCTTTGAATCACTTTATAAATTCAAAGTAGAAAATGGCTTGACATGCATGAGGGCTCCAATTTATTTATTGTGTAATAACCTAATAATTTTAATTGGAAATGTAGAGAATTCTTGTTCTCAGTGTTCCCCTGTGTATGTCAGCATGTGGGCATTACTTTCCTTGTAAAATAGTATCTACCCACGCGCTGCCTCCGCAATACAGCTGATTAGATAAAACGGGATTGAATTTCCTTGAAGTGGGATAGCTTAAACCAAGGAACTGGCTGCTAAACGGAAAATACTCGTGGTATTTAATCTCAGTTGTATCCCAGTGCCAAGGAATAATCCTCAGGAAGCAAAGATTGTCATTTCACTGCATCCGCTTGCCTTGTGGTAGATGTTTTATAGCATTTTGGCCCAGACTCTCACAAATGAAAATTTTATAACAAGTAGAGGTTTTTAGATATAAACATAGTTAAGATTTTGTAAAAGGAATGTTAACCCAACGCATGCATTTCCCATGGGTTTCTTACTCATTTATGTTCTTCATTAATAGTCCCGGTATTCCTCCTTTCATTAGTTCTATTTTTAGTATACACATATCTATTCTAGTTGCTGCAGTGACTCTCTGTCCTCCCTATTGTGTAAATATATTACCTGCTAAAATGAGAGAGGACGCTTGTTTTTGATGGGAAACGCCTTATTTTAAACCTGTGGTGGTGGCTCTTCCAGTTATCCGTAAAAGATGGAACAAACAGCAATAGGAGATTGAGAGCGCGCTTCCCAGGATAGCCAGTTGTCATTAATTCAGTAAATTAATTGGCATATGGCAAACTGTTTCATCCTTTCTCATCATTTGCTGCGCAATCTGATTGACAACGTTTCAGTCCATAGGTGTTGTGGTGAAACTTAGTTTTAAGTCTTTACTTGTTTCTCTTCCTTATTTTTAACAGCTTTTACGAAATCACATTTTTAAAAAAATCCATACTTTTGAGAAAATGTCTAAAGTTTTCTGGATATTCTGATACCATATATTAAATCTCTAGTTTCCTGTGTCTCTAAATCAATAGCTTTTTCATTTTAAAAAGTAATCATTTGTGTGACGTGATTTACCTTTCACAAACCTGTGTTGGCTTCCCCTATTAAATTGTACTTCTCCAACTGTATGCTTAAGCTGTCTATAAATATCATCTAAAAAATGTTCTAATATACATGCTATATATGAAATTTTCAGCTTCTCTTCTAGCCTTTCCAGATATTGAAAACTTACCTTCAGTAATCAGTTTAGACTTCCTAAAAATGAAATATTCAGCGATTCAGCTGCGGCTCTCTTCAGTAGGCAGCTCGCATCCAAGCAGGTCTTTGTCTACATCCAGCCGCTTGCGTTAGCAGTTGTTAGAGCTCCTGAGCGAGTCCCCTCCGGTGGTCCCTACCACCGCCTAAACGCATCCCGCCTGTCCCCCGCCATGGGCTTCCCATCTCCTCCTCCCGGGCTCAGGATCAGGTACAAAACCTGAGGACTGCTAAACTGACTGCAGATGCTTTTACAAGGACTTCCAGCACCTGAAACAAAAGTCAGCATCTTTCCTTATAATAAAAATGAAGGAGAAAAGGGGCAGCTTAAATGTTTTCCTATATAAAAGCTGTTTACTTTGACAAGTTTATAGAAGCCTTTTGTTTTCTGAAATATAAGCAGAGCTATTTAAGTAGTAAGAATAACTGGGTTTGTACACGTGGATTTTTTAAATTTTTTTTTGCACGTTATACCACAAAACATTTAGACAGAAGTTAAAATTTCCTTTATGAAGAACTAGTGTTTTTCTTCATTTTACTCTATCACTCTGTTTGTAGGACTGGCATAAATAAATAATAATTAAAAAAAAACCTCTGGATACTCACATCCAGTTAGTGGCTGTTACTCACTGTGGAGGTGCTATCTTTTGCCTGGTTTTCCCTCAAAACGCGGTTCCCTGGTCAGGACTGCTGTAGTGGGAGCATTTGGGATATACTTCTTGGTCCGAATCCTTTGGGTGTTTGTTCCCGCTCAGTGGCGGGTGCAGTGTCACCGGGCGTTTACTGTCTCAAGGTTCCCACGGGACTTGGGGTTTCAGTGTTGCTGTTCTGGGTTTTCTACTTTGTTCTTTCTGCTACTAACCCTCGCCCCCTCCTGCGAGTGCAGGTTGTAGAAATCATTGGGACTTCATCTGTATATGCCTGAGCACTCTGTTTAGCAGATAATTGATGACTAGGGTCAATAGTATTTTGTATTTAAGTTTTCTTGTTATATACTTAGATTCATCAAGACAGAACTAGGGTTCTGTTCTTTAGTCAATGTTAATGTGCGTTCTGTTTCAGCCTTCCCTTTCCTTTGTGGCATAATATAAGCTATTGTCCATTTTTTGATTAAAAGCAGTTGTTCGTTCCATAATGAGTTGCAGGTAATTGCTGTTTTAAAATTTCCAAATGTTTGTATTTGAAATTCCAATGAGCAAGATTTTCAAGAGTGAATGGAGATGTGAGATGCCAAAAGGCCCGATTTAAGGTTGTGGTCTGCTAACTCGCATAGGAATCAAACTCTAGTGATGCCTGAGCATCACGTTCAAGGGCCTTATTGCCCAAAACTTCTGGGACTACCTTTTAAAGTCAGGTGATGGCCACGTGTGAATCCGATTATTTATTTATTCTTAATTATTTGATCTAAGAACTAAGGTAATGTTCAAAGACTTTATCTGGGGTACCAGATGTGCAAGAACAGAATCCCTGGTGAAGCCTGACCAGTTTTGAACCATGTCCCCTCTTTATTTCAGCCCTGATAACATGGGTCTGCTTGACCCAGCCACCAGCGACGGTAGGGTGATTTTCTTCCTGCCGTGGGAGAAGATGACTATTGCAGGGACCACGGACAGCCCGACTGATGTTACTTCCCATCCAATACCGACAGAAGAAGACATAAACTTCATTTTGAATGAAGTACGCAACTACCTTAGCGTGGATGTTGAAGGTAAGCCCTTGTCAGCTCTGTTTCCCTGGGAGGGTACTGATGGCTCTGAGGTGTTTCAGTCTCAGTAACTGCTGTCATCTGTCTCTGGGTGACAGAAGCGAGGTTTTGCAGAACTGGGATGGTTCGGTTGTACTTCAACACAAGTACATCAAAGAACTCACCTCTTCTTGAAGGAAGAGCTGTTCTGACTTCTCCTGTGTCTTTGTCTTTATTTCCACTTTTTTTAGGCACTTTATTCTTAGAATTTACTTTTCTTGACATGGTAAATATCTAATGGTGTCAGTTTTCAGTGGGAGAAGAAAGTATAATGGGCAAAAAGGGGGATTTAAAAAAATTACCTGGTGACAGTTGTTCCCTTCAGTAGCTGAGCTGAGAACACATTTGTTGTAAGATGCTGGCCTGCTTTGACTCAGTGCTGGTTTGCAGGAGACAGGCTTCTCTCCTTCACAGGTTTTTGGGGGGGTTTTGTGGTTTTTTTTGTTTGTTTGGTTGGTTTTTTAAAATCATTCTGTGAAAGCATTTGTACTTCTGTATTTCTGTTATAGTAGCAGCATTAAAATAAATCTGAGAAGCACTCGGTCAGGAACTTTGCGACATCCTTTGATTTAGGAAAACTTGCTGTCCGGAGGTTGGAAGTGCTAGATGACTTGTTTCCTGAAGTGGATAATTACCAGCTCTGTATTGTATAAAGCTCAGGAAAAGTCTCTGGGAAATGTACCTTTAAGTTGCTTGAGCAGAAGTCGATATAAATAAGTGCGGAAGGCCAGACAGGTACCCAGTAGAGTTAAGCCTGTGAATAAGACAGAGATTTTGCGAGGTATTTTACAGAAGTACATTATGAAGGGTTTAATTCTTCTGAATGAAACCTACCTAGGTGCACGCTGCTTTTCACATATGCAATTAGCAGTGTTTATAGATTGCTTGTTATTGAATTAACAACTGTGCTGGCCATATCAACTCACTGCAGACCTGCCTTTTTGCTGCCAGAGACAGTGCCAGGGTTATCAACTTACACAGGCTTGGATGTGTTCCAACTGTTTAATTATAGTGTCACGCATGCTGCTTTTTCTAGTTTCATTAGTTTATAAACGTAATATGGTATCTTATTTCTGTGATTAACACTTCATTTTGGCAGGTTAAACATGCTGGCAGAGCACCATTGATTTCTGAAATCTATTTTGTGTTCTTTGGGGATATTTTTACACCCCGTTACTGATTTTCAATTATCATTTATTTGAAAGTTGTATTAAAAAAAAATGTTCAACGACTTCAGCATAAAGCAAATCAGTCAATTTTTCTATTGCAAATTTAATAAGCAACAAAATTAATTTCATTAAATTCTCTTTTGGCCCCATGTTTTATGTATTACAGAAGTGACTGTTGAGGCTGGGGGATTTTCCTACAGCTGTTAAGGGCTTTTGTGACTACTTGATGCCTTCAGGTTTTCTTCCTCCAAGTTTACTGAGAAGTCGGGGTTAGCTTTAGGCATACAGCTGTAACTGGAGCCAGAGGAGTAGCGGGGGGATGAAGCAAATGGCCATTTAGTCGGGGTGCTTGTGGAGTGGGACAGCATTTCGGGAGCAGTGAGGAAGAGGAGAAGGCAGGGCTGGAAGAGGCGGTGGGTGGTGTAAGAGATGTGGACTTCTCCTGGGTGGCTTTTGACAAGGCGGCCCTCAGGTTGCTGTGCAGTAACAGGCGCTGGCATGGGGCACAAGCTTTGGGGACATGCTGCACGACCACAACATTGGCAAGACATTTTCTCCTTGTGTGTACGTGTAACTGCACTTCTGAGAAAGGCTGAGGATAAAGATCGCTGGTCAAGAGGAAGACTCGGAAAAATAACCCGCAAGCTATAGAGAAAGCTTTGAAATCCTAAAAGCAAATGTTACGCTCATGTGGAACAAACTTTATTTTGGTTTCTAAAACATAGTGTAAGTGCTGTCCTGTCAGCACAAGCAAACAAGGAGAAGACTTTGTGCTGGGGAGGGGCATGTTTTGGTTTTGGTAGGGTTTGGTTTTTGGGTTTGGAGTTTTTTGAGCTGATCAGTGGGCTTGATGACAGTTGAATCTCTCTTGGTTGATCAGTTCCCAGGATATCTCTATTCTGTTGGATTTTTAACCAGTGTGAAAAACGGACCTCTCTTTTCTGGGCTAGAGAATATTCTTGATACTGATCAGGGCAGTGCTGTTTTTAATTCTGTAGCCCACCTTATTCCATTGCTTTGGAGAATCTTCTCCAGCTTCTTGAGTTGCTCAGCTAACAAGCATGGTGTGGTGCAGCCCTTGTTTCACAGTGTGTGTCTACTCAGAGGCAGTGCCACAAAGACCGCGGGAGGGATATGAGATATGTACCCATCAGTTCCTGCCTGACTCTGGCTGATCTTTGGTTCCGCACAGTGAGAAGAGGAGACGTGTTGGCAGCGTGGAGTGGCATTCGTCCTCTGGTCACAGACCCCAACTCCAAAGACACGCAGTCGATATCCCGGAATCATGTCGTTACCATTAGCGATAGTGGCCTTGTCACGATAGCAGGTACTGGAAGTTCTCTTCAAGTATAGCTTCATTGGGCTTCCCCAGTGTATTTTATTTAAAACTTTTCCTGTTACAGGATAATCCTTCATGTTCCTATAACCAGATAATGATCTGTCAGTGGTAGCATGACTGGCTTGTTGGAGCAAGTCTAGTAAGAATAATGCGTGATAAAAAACATAGTACATACCAACTTCGTATTCCGCTTCCTTTCCCCAAATAAAGAGGTAAACGTGTGGTTACAGGTGGGAAGTGGACAACCTACCGTGCCATGGCGCAGGACACCATTGACGCAGCTATTCAGGCGCATGATCTGAAGGCAGGTTCCAGTAAGACCATTGGCCTGCAGCTGCAGGGGGCTGAGGACTGGAGTCCCACTCTCTACATTAGGTTGGTCCAAGACTATGGACTGGAAAGTGAGGTGAGTCATGGTTTCTGTTGATGCTCTGACGTTTCTGTTGGAGGGCTTTGTTTTCCCACTAAATCTAGTGCCAGCGTAACTTGTACAGAGGTCTGTTGAGTCTGATAAGAGCTTGTTATCTGGCCAGGGCAAAGAGAGTTTTAACAAAAATAAATTCTAGTAATTGTTCTTTTCTTCCCTTTTCCCTTCCTCCTAATCCCGACTGTTTTCCACTTTAAAATGTTATGACATGCTGGGGTCTGTCTTCTTTTGAGCCCAACAAAATGCACACTTCAGATGTGATCACAGTGTAGCAGAAGAGCCAGAGCATCGTTAGTCACAGTTACACTGATGCCTACGCGGTGGTGTCAGTGCTGGACTAACCCATTCACAGCACAAGTAGCTTCCTCCCACGCAATCAAAATCTAATGCCCTCTTCAGCCTATCTGTTATTGGTGATAAGAGAATTGACAAGAAAAAGTGTGTATATTTGATGTGTTTTCAGAAGCCTATCCAATTTGTTTTCCACTCCGTAGGTGGCTCAGCATCTAGCTTCAACATATGGTGACAAGGCTTTTGAGGTGGCCAAAATAGCCCAAGTTACAGGAAAGAGGTGGCCTATTGTTGGAAAACGTCTTGTATCTGAATTTCCTTATATTGAAGCTGAGGTATGTGGAAAAACTGCATAATGTTCTTTGATTCCTTGGGATAAGCAGGTTCTAGAGCAGATCTGTCTCGCTCTGTAAAACATCTCCATAAGCCCCTTCCTTTGGTGAGGTTCAGATCTTTTTCTGTTCTTGTTTTTCCCTTTCCCCAGAGCATGCTTAATTTTATGTTTATATAGAACATATTAATATATTTTTGTTTAATTAAATATTTAT